CTGGAACGCGCGGGGCAAGTGTGGTCACAGCCACTGGGGCCTCCGGTAGAACTCCCTTAGGGCCACGAGACGCCGTACAGGGTGGCGCGGGACGCATGTGGTCACAGCCACTGGGGCCTTCGGTGGAGCTCCCTTTCTGGGGTCATGAAATGCCGTGCGGGGTGGTGCGGCACGCATGTGGTCACAACCACTGGGGCCTTCGGTGGAGCTTCCTATGGGGCCACGAAACGCTTTACTGGGTGGCGCGGACGCATGTGGTCACAGCCGTACTGGGTGGCGCGGGACGCATGTGGTCACAGCCACGGGGGCCTTCGGTGGAGCTTCCTATGCTGCCTTAAAACGCCGTACTGGGTGGCGCGGCCCGCATGTGGTCACAGCCACTAAGGCCTTCGGTTGAACTCCCTATGGGGCCAGTAGACGCCGTACTGGATGATGCGGCACGCATGTGGTCACAGCCACTGGGGCCTTCGGTGGAACTCCCTTAGGGCCACGAGACGCCGTACAGGGTGGCGCGGGGCGCATGTGGTCACAGCCACTGGGGCCTTCGGTGGAGCTCCATATGGGGCCAGTAGACGCCGTACTGGGTGGCGCGGCACGCATGTGGTCACAGCCACAGGGGCCTTCGGTGGAGCTCCCTATGGGGCCACAAAACGCCGTACTGGAACGCGCGGGACGCGTGTGGTCACAGACACTGGGGCATTCGGTGGAACCCCCATACGGGGCCATGAAAGGCCATGTTGGGTGGCACGGGACGCATGTGGTCACACCCACCGGGGCCTTCGGTGGAGCCGCCTTACGGGCCCACAAAACGCTGTACTGGGTGCGGAGGGCAGAGGCAGGGATGGGTGGAGGAGGGTGAGGAGGAGGAGCAGCGGAGGAAGGAGAAGGAGACGCGGGGCGTTGTCTCTACAAAGCGAGGGCCCAACACCACAGGATGGTTAGGAACATTATCCCAGTGCGACCCTACCTAGGAGTTGGAACCCCTAGGAAAGCAGCATTAGTAGTAACAGTAACGCTAAGCTAAAGCTAAGCTAAAGTTAAGCTAAAGCTAAGCCACAGCTAAGCTAAAGCTAAGCTAAAGCTAAGCTAAAGCTAAGCTAATGCTAAGCTAATGCTAAGCTAAAGCTAAGCTAAAGCTGAGCAACAGCTAAGCTAAAGCTACGCTACAGCTGAGCTAAAGCTAAGCTAAAGCTAAACTAAAGCTAAGCTAAAGCTAAGCCAAAGCTAAGCTACAGCTAATCTCAAGCTAAGCTAAAGCTAAGCTAAAGCTAAGCTAAACGCTAAGCTGAACGCTAAGCGAAAAGCTAAGCGAAACGCTAAGCTAAAGCTAAGCTACAGCTAAGCTAAAGCTAAGCTAAAGCTAAGCTAAAGCTAAAGCTAAAGCTAAAGCTCCCAGGGGACTGGGGGGAACCGCTCCCAGGGGACTGGGGAAACCGCCCGGGGCGTGTAGCACTGCCCGGCCCCTTTAAGCTAAGAGAATAAGAACCCTTCTAGGCAGAGCCTAGGTAGGGAAAAAACACACCGAAAACTAAAAACAAAAAAAAACATAGTGCAAAAATGCAAACACTGCTTGGGAACATATCCATCCAGAAACCAGCGTTCCCTGCTGTGCGCAGCGCTACCATCTCTGACAAAACAACAATACAACATGCACCTCGCGGCTAAATCTGGATCATGCGCGGCCATCCCGCGATCACTGTCAAGTGGTTTTTGACAGGGACGGCGGCGATGGTGACGCGTAGCCTCCTGTGCGCAGGCCCACCAGACACAATAATGGGCATTGGTTTTAGACGAGGATAGCGGGGGCCGACATGCTTCCCGATGTGTGCTGTCACGTGCGCAGGCGTGCCTGACACACTCTGCACGTGCCCCGAACGTGGCGCACCTGGCGCGGCTGGAGTGTGCGGCACGACTGGCGCACTCGGAGCACGTGGCGCATCTGGCGCACCAGGCGTGCCTGGCACGCTCGGGCCCCAGGGGTGCCTGGCGCGCGTGGCGCCCCTGGCACTCGTGGCGCCCCTGGCACGCGTGGCGCACCTCGCCCAAGCGTCGCACACCTGGATCCGGCTATGGTTCCCAGTAGCTGTCCATCAAAAGACGACAGCTGAACATTCTCAGGCTCGGGTGTTACTCATGTGTTGGGAGGGCGGGTGGGAGTGAGCTAGGCAGCTTGCGGGCGGGTGGGTAGCTTGACAAGACCCCTCCCCCTGCCCCCTACCCCTTCCTTGAAGGGCCCAAGGACACACAAAGAAGTATGCACAAATCCCAGGATTCCCCCATATGTGTCCATGTGTTCTGCAGTTCCCTCTTCACCCCCCCCACTTCCTATCTGTCCCCGAGTTTTCCTGGGGATCGACGACGAGCTGTGTCTGTGTGTCTGCTGTTTCCCCTCCTGAACTCCTGGCTCTCCAGGTCGGCCTGGTCCGGCCCCGCACTCCTCCAGCAGTGCAGCAGCGCAACGCAGCCCAGGATCGGCACGCAGGCCAGCACCGCCGTGGTCGTGGGCCTCAGCACCGCGGGGTCCACCACCGAGAGCACCACGGGGCCCTCCAGGACGCTGTAGACGCCCGGCCCGCCAGGGCGGTCGCCGACGAAGCTGTAGACCTCGTAGCGGCCCGCGGGGAGCGGCCAGCCGACCTGGCCGGCCTCGACCGGGCCCCCGGCGCCGAAGGCGGAAGAGCCGAGAAGACGGCTGCTGTGTTTGGAGACTTTCGGAGGCTCGCGCGGATGCTTTGGATCGGCGCTGGGCCCCCCTCCCTGGCGCGCGGAGTGCGCCAGGGGCGGCGCCGGAGGCGCCGCCAGGGGCGTCCAGCGCCCGTCCAGAGAACCCGCGCGGACCTCCGAAAGTTTGAGCTTGCACCGTCTTCTTGTCTTCGAGAAGGTGAGGGTCGCCGCGGGGTCGTGCCCCACGCAGTCCTGGGACCCGCAGGTGTAGAGCCACACCGCGGACGAGTTGGTGCCTGGCGCCGCGCCGGCGCCGTAGATGCCGACCCAGGCAAAGGGGGACTCGTCGCCCTCGTGAGTATCGTTAACTCAACCGATCCCCATCCCCACCAGCGTGGGCTGGGCCCCACTGGCCGACTTACCCCCCTGATGGGGATATAGGCTGCCCTCGTCGGGTTTCGAGGGGCATACCCCCCACTGAGGTGGTGAGACGGGCGGAGCTCGAGATGTGGCTGGGCATGGGGATGGGGATCGATCAAACGATGCTGACCTCGCCCGCGCTCACGACCTTGACGGCGATGTCCTCCCCGAGGACGTAGACGCGCCTGTCGGTGCTCAGGCCGTACCCGGACAGGGGCAGCCCGAGGGGCTCGCAGGCCTCGAAGCGCACGCCCGGCTCGACCGTGTAGCACCAGATGGCCCGGGTGCTGCCAGCAGTGCCCCCGGCCCAGGATGCCCCCGGGGGATGTTCTGGCCGGCCCCCCCCCCCCAGACATGATCGCGTCGCGACAAAAAATCGGGGCGGCACACGTTCCGCCACTCTCGGCCCTTGGGGGCCCTCGCCGGGCCCCACGACCGGCAAGAAAACGACCCAGGATGAAAAACCAGCCCCGCGGAAAGAGTCTGGGCTCAAGCCCAGACTCGTAAGCCCAGATGAAAAAACGGCGTCCCTGGAATTCCGGGGACGCCGTTCTGAAAAAATCAGGACGTCGCATGTCTGGGCCCCACGGCCTCCGGAGCCACCCCATCACGAGGCCCGGAGGGCCCCAGGGGGCTTCGACATGGAGCGAGAAAAGGCGGGGACACCTTGGGCCAGGGGCACCTTCCCTGAGATCCGACGTTGCAAAAAAATGGCTCCGTCGTGAAAATCACGACCGCAGCTCTGGACCCCATCTTTCTGCCTCATGTTTCCAGTCGCATCGATCTGTGAAGGTCCCAGGGCCCGAAATGGAGCGAAAACGCCCGTGGTGAGAAAATTGCAACGCGAGGATTTGAGGGTTTCTACAGCAGCCCCCGAATGGTCACGGGCACCCCGTCGAAGAGGTCGTCTGGCTCGGCCGGGTTGCGGCAGAGGTCCAGGCAGCGCCAAGAGTGGCCCACCACTGGGGGAATCACCCCCTCCCCGCGGAAGCGGTCCCCCTTCTGGAGGCCCCAGAGGGCCCCCCCCCCAGGACCACTAGACGGTGGCAAACGTCTGAAGCATGCTCGATCCTCGATCCTTGATCCTCCCTCCTCCCCCGATCCTTGATCCTCGCTCCTCCCATTTGTTTGTCGCCGTTTGTTCCCTCGAGCCTTTCGCAACCAGACGGAGCTCAGCCCATCGCCCATGCCGTGGCCCGACGAAGACGATCTTCGATTTCCAGGAGGTGCTCGTGACGTCACTTGCTTTGGGGGAGGGAGCGCCACCATAACGCTTCATCCGACTCGGCCTCGACAGCTGTGCGAATCAAAAGGTCGGCAGGCAAACCGGGATGACCACACGAGACGACCTGCGATAGGCGAGCACATGCACTGAACCGCGGCCTGAAAGATAAAGGAGCGCGCCGCATGCGAAAGGAGGAAGAAGCGAGGAGGAGAGGGCCCGGTGGGGAGGAAGGGAGGATCGGGGAGACGCAAGACTCGGGTTCGGGGGACTCGGGTTGGCCTGACGGGGCCATCATGAAAATGACGAGACCCAGTCTGAAATTTGACGCGAGCTCCCGCTGCAGACACCCCACGAAAACTGTGCCGCCAAACCCAGGACGGGCTCGTCAAGAAGCGTTGGCAAATCAGAGTTCCCGCGCAGTTCGAGTCTTACGTTTTCCCGAGGGCCTAGACTCCCGACGTTTTTTTTTGTAACGTCGACCCCAAGAGATCTCGACTCATTCCCCCGGACCAGCTTCTCATCCTGAGTAGGTTGTTTGACGGTCCCGAGGCCGGGTAAGGGCCCCAAAATGCGAAAGTTGAGGAACGCCTCCCGTCGTGACTTTTGCAAGACTCGACGGGGTCTGCAAGCAGAGCGCGCGGGAGGAGCTCGTGGCGAGCCCCCCTGGCAGTGCCCGAGAAGCTGTGGTCGCCAAGGCCCTTGCCTGGGCTGCTCTCCGCGGTCAGCGCGTGCTGCTGCGGCGACTGGGCGGACCACCTCCCAGGGCCGACGACCAGGGGAGGACCGGCTCACAGCAGGAGGAGGGGGAGGAGGAGGAAGAGGAGGAGGAGGAGGAGGAGGAGGAGGAGGAGGAGGAGGGGAGGAGAAGGAGGAGGAGGAGGAGGAGGAGGAGGAGGAGGAGGAGGAGGAGGGAGGAGGAGGGAGGAGGAGAGGAGGAGGAGTAGGAGGAAGGAGTGAGGAGAGGGGAGGAGGAGGGAGGAGGAGGAGGAGGAGGAGGAGGAGGAGGAGGAGGAGGAGGAGGAGGAGGGAGGAGGAGGAGGGGAGGAGGAGGGGGATGGGGGAGGAGGGGGAGGAGGGGGACGAGGTGGACGAGGGCGGGAGGAGGGGGTGGGGCGGGGGAACATCGGGCTGAAATCGGATACGTCCTCGATAGATCGGCGTTGGTCGAGGAATGCAGCATCGCACAAACATGAACTTTCGGAGGTCCGTGCTGATTTCTTGGACCGGCGCTGGAAACCATCCGCGCGCCAGGGGCGGCGCCGGAGGCACCACCAGGGGGCTCCAGCGCCGGTCCGAGAAATCCGCGCGGACTTACGAAAGTGTATGTTTATGTCACTTGTTGTCCCCGTCGCCGATCTACGATCGCAAATCCGCACGGTCCTGGGCGGGGTGGCTTTAACGGGGCCGCGGGGTGGCCAAAACCCAGCGCGCAAGACGCTGCTGTCGCATCGCGCCCGGCGATCGGGGGACCCCGGTGGGCCCGCAGCAGAGGCCACTCCGGCGACCGGACACCCCTGCGTGTAGCCGACTGGGCCCATCTATCCTTGGCATCGCCCGGACGTCCATTCCCTGTTTTTGTTTCGGTTTCGTGCGTGGCTTTGTCGCCAACTGATCAAAGATGCTCCTCGATGGTCCTCGCCAAAGGAAAACTGCACACGTCCGAGCGATGCCATCCATCCACTACATACGGCACTGAGGCCCCGCACCTCTGGCAGAGCCTGCCGGAGACGGTGCGGTCCTGGCAGCCCTGGTAGCCGCTGCCGCCCTCGCCCGCCAGCGTCTCGTCGCACCATCGCCTCGGCGGGCGGGGGCCGCGGCTCCGCGGGCCGAGCGGCGGGGCACGGGGGGCCGGGGAAGCACCAGTCGGGGAGAGGCACGCAGAGGCAGCCCCAGGGGCACAGGGCGGGGCTCGCCATCGCTCGGACGTCCATTCCCTGTGCTTTTGTTCGGTTTCGCGCGTGGCTTTTTCGCCAAATGATCAAGGATGCTCCTGGATGGTCCTCGCCGAAAAGAAAAATGCACACGTCCGAGCGATGCCAAGGGGGAGGCGCAAGGCTCGGGTTCGGGGGCCTCGGGCTGGCCGGACGGGGCCATCAAGAGAAGGACGAGACTGCAGTCTGTGTCGGGCCCGCCGCAGGCATCCCACGCAGAGAGGACTGGCAAGGCCCAGGACGCGCTCGTCAAGAAGCGTTGGCAAACCCGGGTTCTGGCGCACTCGAGTCTCACGCTTCCCCGAACAGGCATCGTGCTATATACCACAAACCCAGACCTGCGACATCATGAAAACGTCGGGACGGCGGTGTTTCTCCATGCCTGGCCTCGGGGGGGGCCCTCAGCGGGCCCTGGAACCGTCAGAAGACGACTCGGGATGAATAAGCCACCCCCGAGGGAATGGTCGGGACTTCCGGGGACCGCGCGCAGGACCCACCCCGCGTGTCTGGGAGCCAGCGCTGTGACCACGGCGGGCCTCGGTCACGAAGAGGGGTCCCCCGGCCTGTCGATCCAAGGAGCGGCCGGACAACCAGCGCCCCTCCGAAGCCCCAAGTGGTCTGGGCCTCGGCCCCGAAGAGGCCCCCCTGCCCGTAGCCCCCGGCCCGCAGGACCTGAGGAGCGGCGCCAGAATGCCAGAGCCCCTCCTGTTCTCCCCATTTCACCGTCGTGCCTGCACAGCAGACACCCACGATGAGAACTCCCGCCGTGACTCGAGCGGGGGATCGACTACAGAATGGAGTCACCCCAGACCCCAGACATTCACGCAACAGCGTAGAATGCGCCGTCGATCTACTGATTACCCGGTGCATGCTTCGTAGATCAGGCAAACAAATCACTTCTGGGGTAAATCAATTCTGCAGTCGACCCCCTACTCGAATGGTAGATATGCAGGGGCAAGGTGGCCGTCCGTCTGCAGCTGCCCCAGGTGTCCCCAGGACTTCTGTGGATCCCCAAGGCGCCTGCTGGCAGGCCCGTTGTTATCTGACGTGCCGACTGCAATGCAGGACGACGACTGGGAAATGCCTGGGGAGGGGGGCGCCACGCGGCAGCGCCCTGGGCTATGACTGCAGGCTGACCGAGGTGTAAGATCGAGGTCGGTTCGGGGAGGGTACCCTAATGTTCTTCGTGTCTGTTGGATCTTCTTGTGCACCCTGGGGGAGGTACCCTTGCATGTTCTGTGGGTGTGGGCGCGTTGGCCGGCGAAGGGTCACGTGTTCTTGACGGATGCTCTTCTGTCGTAGGTCCGGCTGTGATAATCTCTGGGTTCCATACCCGGTCGTGGGCATCGTCGGTCACTGGAGTTACGTGCTTGGTCGTCCTCCCCAGAGCCGTTCCCGACGGCAGACACCCACTGCTCTGATCGCTCCCCGCTGCTCCCGCATCGTCCTCGACATGCACTCGCCTCGGCTGGCCTCCAGGGCGGCCCGGGGCGATCTCAACACGCGAGGTCGACAGCGCCCAGGGCCCAGAGCGCCCCGGGGAGCGCGGCGGGAGGAGGCCCCGCGGGGGTGCCGGCGGGCCGCCCCCTTCAGGCCTCCGACGTCCCGATGCCTGTCGGCGCGTGGCCCTCGGACTTCTCGAGCAAGTCCCTTCCTCCTCCTCCTCCTCCTCCTCCTCCTCCTCCTCCTCCTCCTCCTCCCTCCCTCCCTCCTCCTCCTCCTCCTCCTCCCTCCTCCCTCCTCCTCCGCCTCCTCCTCCCCGCCGCCTCCTCCTCCTACTCCTCCTCCTCCACCTCCTCCTCCTCCACATCCTCCTCCTCCTGCTCCTCCTCATCCTCGTCCTCCTCCTCCTCCACCTCCTCCTCCATTCCGTCTCCTTATGAATAACGTCTCCCTGTCGCACCCAGAGACCGGTCGAAAGGGCGGGCCGGGCGTTTCGCCTACGACTTCCTCACCATGTATGACCCTGAAGCCTAGAAAATGGCAATTGCTTCACAGATGGAGGGCGGGTCGTTTTCAAAATGTGACTCTCTCCTTAGCGCCACGCACACTTGTTCAAAAAGTTGCAAGAGATTCACGGATTGAGGGCGGATGGTTTACAAAAAATGGCTCTCGCTTTGACACCGCGCACATTCGATTTAAACATCGCAAGAGTTTCACGGATTGAGGGCGGGTCGTTTCCACAATTTAGCTCTCGCTTTAGCACCGCGCACAATCGTTCTAAAAAATTGCAAGAGTTTCACGGATTGAGGGCGGATCGGTTTCACGATATGGCTCTCGCCTTAGCGCCGCGCACGCTGGTTGTAAACATACAAGAGTTTCACAAATTGAGGGAGGGTCGTGTTGACAATGTGGCTCTCGCCGTTTTAAACCTTGCAAGAGTTTCACGGATTGAGGGCGCGTCGTTTCAAAATGTGGCTCTCGCCTGAGCGCCGCGCATACTCCTGTTAAAATCTGCAAGAGTTGCGTGTGCTCCCACGGTGAACGCACCAGAAATTGGATTCTGGATTGTGAAGGTGCAACAGTTACGCTGATTCGCGGTGTTGAAGTCACAGGAATGGCTTTCTGGCACGAGTCAGCATCGTTCAGACGCAGGAGATGATGTGAGAATGGCGCAGGAGTCCCGAGAATGATGTGTTGGCATGCTTCAGGCTCTTCAAACTGTTGTCTTCCAAAGAGGCAGCTCCCTCAGTGGAACAAAACCCTTGTAGGGGCATTTGACGAGGTAGCTTGGAGGGAGGGTTTATGCCAACATCGATGACTGGGCTTACGCTGATCCTTCTCCTCCTCCTCCTCCTCCTCCTCCTCCTCCGCCTTCTCCTCCTCGTCCTCCTCCCCATGCTCCTCCTCCTCCTCCTCCTCCTCCTCCTCCTCCTCCTCCTCCTCCTCCTCCTCCTCCTCCTCTGCTTCTTCCTCCTCCTCCTCCTCCTCCTCCTCCTCCTCCTCCTCCTCCTCCTCCTCCTCTCGAAACTCCAGCCTCGATCGAACCTGGAGCCTCGATCCTCGATCAGAGATCGATGGCTGGCAAGGAGACGCCAAGATCTCGGGGGACGCTTTAGCCCTCTCGTGGAGCTGGCGCCGCCGCCAGGGGACGTCGACTCCAGCCGCGCGGCAAGCTGCAGCCACAGGGCGCCGGCGGCGGCGGCCGAGCGGCACGTCCGGGCGGGGCGTGCCGGCATTGGCGGCGCCGCGTCCGTCCTCCTCCTGCTCCTCCTCCTCCCTCCTCCTCCTCCTCCTCCTCCTCCCTCCTCCTCCTCCTCCTCCTCCTCCTCCTCCTCCTCCTCCGCCTCCTCCTCCTCCTCCTCCTCCTCCTCCCTCCTGCTCCTCCTCCTCCTCCTCCGCCTCCGCCTCCGCCTCCGCCTCCGCCTCCGCCTCCTCCTCCGCCTCCTCCTGCTCCTGGCACAGAGATGCGCATTACGCATGCTCCTCCTGATCCGCCTCCGGCGTCAGGGGGCAAAAGATCGCGACCAGCGCTTCTCTGTTTCATGTTATCTGCGCCTGTCGAGGTCAAAAACACAAAACCCGATGTAATATACGTACATGCTTACATACATACATACATACATACATACATACATACATACATACATACATACATACATACATACATGCCTACCTACCTACCTACCTACCTACCTACCTACATACATACAGACGTACATCCTACATACATACATGTAGACAGACAGACAGACAGACAGACAGACAGGCAGACACACATAAATAAATATATACATGCATACATACAAACATACATACATACATACGTACATGCAGACCTACCTACCTACCTACCTACCGGCATAGATACATACATACGTACATAATACATACATATATTCATATATACATATAGACCGACAGACAAACAGACAGACAGACAGACAGACAAACATAAACACATACATACATACATACGTACATGCGTGCATGCATAACATACATACGTGCATGCATGCATGCATACATAAATGCATGCATGCATTCGTGAATGCATACATACATGCATGCATACAGGTGTACACATCTATATGTATTGATGTGCTTATGCATAATTCCCCGAGCAATGCTTGCGCTTAGGGGCTCTTATTCCTGTTCTAAGGAACCAGGCCGTGTCTTCGGTCTGGCGGCTGTGAGGCCACCGTCGCCGCCTCGTCGCCGCCTCGTCGCCGCCCGTCGTCTTGGCCGTGTCTTCGGTCTGGCGGCCATGTGGCCGCAGTCGCCGCCCCGTCGTCGCCTCGTCGCCGCCCATCCCGTCGCCACCCAGATTGCACAACAGATGTTGCACCACATAGATTGCACCACAAAGATTGCGTCACATATAGTGAACAACATAGCTTATACCATATAGATCGCACCGCATCGATTGTACCAGATTGGTTTCATAACATCCAAAACATATATTGCGCCACATGGTTTGCACCACATAGGTTGCACAACATACGTTGCACAACATACAGTACATCACATATATTCTCCGTTCTCAAAAGAGAATAGACTCTAGCCCCCCCGGACTTATCGCTTCCCCCTGGGAGAGTATGATTTCATATATATATATATATATTATATATATATATATATATTATATATATATATATCTGCACACTCGTCCATCCTAAATATGAAATCACACCATCCCAGCCAGGCCGGGATCCCCCCCCTGAGGTTCCGTTGTAAAAAACACTATGCGGTGACATTTTCTTGTTCTAACATAACACTTTTTCACGAATCCCTTGCAAAAAAGAGGCGAAGTGCACACGCGCGCGTCGTCGCGCGCGCATGCCGAAATCCTTCAAAAAACCTTCGGTGCCGGAAGGATTTCCCAATCGAGGTTCCAAAAAACATACAAAAACACATGGTTTCGCAGCACTGATTTGCTAAAAAAGCTTCCGCGCGAGCTCTTGCGAAATCTGAAGAAAACCATAAGTTTTCAAGATTTTCACCAAATGCTATGAAACGAGCTTCGCGCGCGCATGTCGAAATCTGTCGAACGCCCTTGCGCGCGTGCCGTCGCGAGAATCCTCTGCAAAAAATGGGACGAAGTGAAGACGCGCGCGTCGTCGCGGGCGTATGCCGAAAACCTTCAAAACCCATCGGTTTCGGAAGGATTTCAAAATCGTGCGTCCAAAAAACCTACAAAAACCCAGGGTTTCGCAACACGGATTTTCAACAAAAGCGTGCGCGCGCGCACTTGCGTCGTCGTCGTCGTCGTCGTCGCCGTCCTCCCTCCTCCCGCGTCGTCGTCGTCGTCGTCGCCTACGTCGTCCTCTGTCTTTTCTCGTGTTCGTCGTCGTCGTCCTCTTTGGCGTCGTGGTCGTTTCCGTCGTCGTTGTCGCCGTGGTCGTCCTTCCTCCTCCTCCCATGTCGTCGTCGTCGTCCGTCGTCGGCGTCTCGTCGTCGTCCCTCCTATTTCGTCGCCGTCGTCGTCGTCGTTGTCGTCGTCGTCTTCCCTCCTCCCTCGTCGTTGTCGTCGTCGGCGTCGCCGTCCTTCCTCCTTCGTCGTCGTTCGCGTCGTCGCCGTCCTCCCTCCTCCCTCGTCGTTGTCGTCGTTGTCGCCGTCGTCGTCCTTCCTCCTCCCTCGTCGTCGCCTTCGTTGGCGTCGTCGTCGTCTTCGTCGTCGTCGGCGTCGGCGTCGTTGTCGTCGTCGAAGTCGTCGGAGACGTCGTCGGTGTCGTCCTAGTCGTTGTCGTCGGTGTCGTCGTAGTCGGTCTTAACAGGTTTTGCAAACCAAGTTGCGGGTGGGTGGGTGGGATGTTTGCGCGAGCAGTGGAGATGACGACTTCAAGTTCAGCAGAGTGAATTGCACCACATAGGTTTCACCACGTATATTGCACAAAATATATTGCACAAGAAATTGTGCACCACATAGATTGCACCACATAGGTTGCACCACCTATATTGTACAACCTAGAATGCTCAACAGATAATGCACCACATACATTGCCCCAGTTTAGTTGTACCACATGTGTTGCACGACATCCAGTGAACCACACTTTTTGCACCACATAGATTGCACACAACCGATTTCACAACATAGCTTGCACATCTGATATTGCATCATACATGTTGCTTCACATAGATTGTACAACACATATATATGTATATACAAATTGCACCACACAAATTGCACCGGATATCGCGCACCACCTACATTGCACAGCATAGATTGCACCAAAGATATTGCACACACCATTTATTGCACAACATAGAATGCGCACGACAGATGGCTCAACATATATTGGACAACATATGGCACACACACCCTATTGCATCCTACATATTGCACCACGTCTATCACACCACCTAGATTGCGCAACATAGATTGCACATCACAGATTGCTAGAACACACACTATTTGGAGCTCACGCCGGCGAACATCTACATAGCAAAAAGACAGCAAACAAAAAACACTACGAGATGGAGAGCTGGCAAGGGGACCGAGAGCTCCAGGGGGTCGTGACGTCGGGGTGATCTCCCTCCTCTTCGTCCTCCTCCTGCTAGTCCTCCTCCTCCTACTCCTCCTCCTCCTTCTCCTCCTCCTCCTCCTGCTCCTCCTCCTTCCCCTCTTCCTCCTGCTCCTCCTGCTCCTCCTCCTCCTCCTCCTCCTCCTCCTCCTCCTCCTCCTCCTCCTCTCCTCCTCCTCCTCCTCCTCCTACTACTCCCTCCTCCTTTTGGACGTTGGCCAGACTCCCGGTGTGATGCTCGCAGCGTTCGTCCTCCTCCTCCTCCTCCTCCTCCTCCTCCTCCTCCTCCTCCTCCTCCTCCTCCTCCTCCTCCTCCTCCTCCTCCTCCGCGTAGGCGGGCACGCGGGCTCGTGCCAGACGCGGCCAGGAAGCTCTGCTGCACTGTGGCACGGGGTCGACCATCTCCGAGGGACCGACTTGGAGGAGCAGCAACAGCGAGAGGACCCTGAGATCTGGGCGTGGCATTTCTTTCAAACCAGGCGTTTTCGCATGGTTTCGGGCTCCAGGACCACCACAGATAGGTGCGGCGCGAAAGATGCCGCAGAAGATTGGGTATAGAGCTCCCGTCGCGATCTTCTACGATGTCGCATTTTGTCGCAACATCGGCTCTGAGGGGAAAACTAGCAGCAGCAAGAAAAGGCAGATTGGAGGACACTGGCCAACCCCCATCTCCGATCCCGACCAGGCCCAGACAGAGCCTGGGATCGGTGGATGCGCGCCTCTGACCTACTCAGGTAGGCTCATGAACCGACCTCGGGCCCAAGATCGGCACAGGCAGGGACCGCTTCCAACGCTCCGGTGTACCGCATCGAACACGCAGCGAAGGCTTCGTGAGATGCCAGGCGCCCATCGCTGCAGCAGCACAGCAATCGCCCTGCCGAAGGGGATGCGGGAAGGGAGCATACGAGTGGCCCTGCAAGGTCTGGCCGGGAAGGCGGCAGAAACAGAGGAGGGGCTGCAACCGCCAGAGGGGGAAGGGACGAGGAAGCGAAGAGCGGAAGGAGGGGGGGGAGCAAAGAGGAGGGAGGGAGGAGGAGGAAAGAGGAAGGAGGGAAGAGGGAGGAGGGAGGAAGGGAAGAAGAGGAAGAAGGAAGAGAGGGGGGGTCGAGGGACGAGGGGGAAGAAAGAGGAAGGAGGGAGGGAGGTCGATGAGGGAGTGACCGGAGGGAAATCGGGGTGAGAGTTAAGAAAGGGAGGGAGAAGGGAGGAGGGAGTCATACGGGGAGGAGGGAGGCGACAGAAGGAAGGGAGGAGGGAGGGGACGAAGGGGGGGATTCAGGAGGCAGGAGATAACAGGTAGTGAACAAACGAGGAACAGAGCCAGGACGGAGAAGGAAATGGGCAAAGAGATATCAAATGCTTCTTGTGTTTTATCCATTGGATACAAAGGGATATCTCAAACTGCTTCCAAGCGGATCCACACCATTGCTCCATACTTGCATTATTTCGTTTGCCGAGTTGGCGCTGACTTGAGCCGCATTGGGGCTCTCTGGGCCACTTTCGGGGGGTCTCCTGGGCCGGCCGCCTTGGGGCCCTACATGATGCGGCCTGGAGCCGTCGTGAGGCCGGAGCGCTCCCGCAGCTGCCTGAAGAAGAACAGCCCATGACAAACAAGAACACACTTGTTACGTCGCAGCGCGGCAGAGGCGATCCGCACGCGCGTCGGGCCGAGACCGGGACACGGCGTCGCAAATTAACACGCGTGCACGAGGGGGGGGAGGCGAGAAAACAAACAAACGAACGAACAAACAAACAAACAAACAGACAACATGGCGCTAAAAGGCTGATTTAGCCGTTGCTGCCCTCTCTCGAGGCATCTCGTTTTGGGCTATCCTGGTACGCCTTGGCGGCCTCCAGTCGGCCTTCTGGGCAGTTTTCGAAACCTTGTGAAACCAAAATGGCCCCCATAGGCGCCGAGAAGGGCTCCAGGACCACCAGGACAAAAGTGGGTATCACAGGGCTGGACCTAAGCGTTGTTTTTTGCTCTGCTGTCGTTTCGTTGTTCGTTTTACTCTGCCTCTTTTCCTGTACCCCCCTCCCAAAGCGAAAATCAAAGCACAGCCGAAATCCAGCAAAACAGCGTGTACGTCCAGCCCCGGGGCATCAGGATGGGGAGGAGGAGAGCTCCGACAAAGCGGGCCGCCCCGAGGCCCTGGAGGCCCAGTCGCCGCTCGCGTGTTGCACGTTCTCCGAATAGAGCCTACACGAAGGAAGGCTCATGTGGCTGAAAGCCGATGAGAGATGAGAGTCCCGAGCTCTCATTGTTGCCCTGATGCTCTACGGGTGGTGCTTTGTGGGCGGTGCTCTGTGGCTTCTTAACTGCTGCAACTTCCTTTTATTATCACTATCAATACTACAGGCATATTCCTACTCTGCTTAAAAAAGGATCTGGGGGCGTTGCCTCGTCGCCATCGCCGCCGCTGTCGTCGCCGCCCTCTCCGCGCCCGCGGGGATGTCATAGCCGATCTGGCTCCATCCTGATTTCCATATCCCGATAAAAAATGTCCACCAAAGACCGCAAGCGGAGCGCCGTGTCTGGGCTCCGCGACCTGGCCGATGAGGTGGGCGCGCCCGTGAACTGTCGTGGTCCAGGATTTCGACGCTCTGCACGCCCAGGTGCTTGCTGTCTGTGCCACTAGGGGATCACACGCGAACCCTACCCCTATCCCCCACGATTTCTGAGGGGTAGGGTGGGGTTCACTTGAGCAGGCTGGGTTTCGACGTCGCAACTCTGAAAGGACCCCAGAACACACAAATAAATACACACAAATAAAAGGTTTCTCCATATTTTCACATATTTTCTGGGTGTTTGTCTTCCCCCCCACTTCCCATATTTTCCCATATTTCCCGGGGAATCGACGATTCATTGTGTCTGTGTGCTTTTTTCCCCTCCTGAAACTCGTTTTGCTGGCTCACGTGGAACAGTCGTAGCTGTGCAAAGTGGGATTCCCCTTCGCGGTGGTCTACGTTCCTCGTGCGGGAACCTCCCCGTCGCACTGGTGGCGCGGGAACCCGGGACACTGCTTAACGGCGCGGGGACCGCCCATGGCCAAGCGCGGGAACCTCGGGCACGTCAAATAATAGGGTGCGGGAACCTCCCTGTCGTTGCGCTGCTAGCGCGGAAAACCCGGACACTGTCTTTTGTAACGACGCGGGAACGCCACCCCGCTTCGGGATATAATACTAGAAAAGCTCAGAAGGGGGGGGGAGGGCGAGGGGGGAAGGGCGAGGGGGGAAGGGAGACGGGGGGGAGCGCGTGGGAACTTTAGCATTGAACCAACGGCATTGCCCCAAACGGGGCGTCGCGCCCTCCGCGCGGGAGGGGGCGTTGGCTGGGAGGGCAGTGCACGGCGGTGGGTAAGCTACACATTGCTAGATATGCGGCAGTTCAAATATATCTATATATATATATAACTTAGCTGTTTAGATACCAGTGACGGCAAGTTAAATTACGATGCGAATTTGCGTTATGAAAAATTAGTTTCATTTCGAATTGGTGAAGCATGATCACCTACGTGGTCGTAACGCATAATGCGATACGCTAGTGTGCGGTGAGTGAGGTTCACTTAAGGCAAGTTGCGTTTAGGCTAGTGAAGTTGAGTTGCGCTGAGCTGAGCTGAATTACGTTTACTTAGATGAAGATGAGCTAAACAAAGTGAAACCAAATTAGGTTAGGCTAATTGAAATAAAATCCTGCTAAGCAAGCTTAAGTTAAGATAGTCGGAACTACGCCAGGTCAAGTTAAGTGAAGCAAAATGAAGTCAAGTCAAACTCAATCACGTCTAAAGTTACGCTACGTTCAGTTATACATTACGTTAGGTTAGCTTATGTAAAAATAAATGCAATGATTCAACCTCCACCTCGCACCACCCAACCTACCTTAGGTTAAGTTGCGTTGCATCCATTTCCCGCACCCTAACTGTAGTTCCACCCACGACAACGTCAGAGATGTGAAAAGAAACTGGTTTTCCAATGAGCACCCAAGTCCATTGTCTGCGGCCTCAGGCGCGCTATCCTCTTCTGTCAGCATCAGGCGTAGCTCGAATCGATAGCGTCCTCTGCCCCCGCCTGGTAGGAGAGATGAACGGCCCCTCCTGGTGGGCGGGTGGCAAGAAGGGGTATCTTGCGCCATGGGCCAGGCGAAAGTACGGGCCTTGCACCGGGTGCCCAAGGAGCACGACCTCCAGCTGAGCAAGGGCGACATTGCACAGTCCGTCGCCAAGATGAGCGGCGGACACCCGAGCACGGCAGCAATCTGCAAGACCAAGAATGCCATGGAGAAGGACCCCCGGTGGTATCCGGGGAAGTCGAGTGTCGAGACTAAGAAGCCAGGTCCCAAGCAGATACTGACGCCCCAAATCCAGCAGGCCATCGCGAATGCTGCAATGGCCATGAAGCGCCACGGCGAGGAGCCGACGGCAACCGACTTGAAGCGGCGCTGCCCTGACGCGAAGCTCACGCCCATCACGAGCCACCCTGTCACCGACGAGTACATCTACCCCATCTTGAAGTCGAAGTGCGTGGGCGACGGGGCCGAAATGCCATGGGGCCACTTGCAACCCAATCGAAAGACGGCCCTGTCACCTGAGATGAAGGCGCGACGCCTGACATTTGCGCGCGCGGAGGTGCGACTTGGTCGATCCGCAGAGTGGTATCGCAAGAACGTGATCTACGTGAACACGTGCCACACGATTCTCTCGGACAGACCATGTAGCAATTTCGATGAGAAGCAGGCGTCCTACGTGAGTCGAAGCGCTGGATGTCGCCCGACGCGAAGGCCGCGTCGCGGAATCGATTGGCCTCGCCCTACGCCACAAAGCAGACCCAGATCGGGGACAAGAAGATCTGGTGTTTCATCATGACTTTCAAGGGGAAGGTACATGAGGAGATCATGGGCACCGAATGGAAGCAGATTGGCGCAGGGGTCGCCCAAATGGTCGGCCGCTTGGGGCGCATCCTCCCGAATAACTTGGACAACGGAACACCATTGCCCCGCGTGGTCCTCTCGGACCGCGGGCCTGGCCTCTACCAGGCTTCGACGGGCCACATCGTCGGCGACTATTACAACGCCCTCAAGCAGCATGGTTTCCGCGCATACGCGGGCACAGACGCGAGCAAGCAGCCCCCAGCCACGCCCGACGCGCTTCCCCGCGAGACCGCCATGGCGTGCACCAAGCACCACTCTGACGGAGGGCAAGGGCCTCGACTCGATGGAGGACGAGCTGGCGGACCGGCCCACGGTATGCAAGACGCACATCAACCGCCATTTCGAGGTGGACGCGTTGTGCTCGAGCTACCCCGAACGCATGAAGGAGCTCGTGGGCAAGCAGGGCGAGCGACGGAACCA